AAATGGGATGTATTTTCCTGCAGCGATACTGCACAGCTACATACATCTGCCGCCACCGCCGCCATCTTGGAGATGAACGCACCGACCGTCAGGCCGGTTCAACGTTAAAGAGATGTTTCCAGAAAAAAACGTCAAAACATTTTGGATTTTCACAAGAGAAACTGATTCTTCCTGACTGAGCAAACTCACAGTTTCAGGTCATTCTGCCTCCCGGCTCTGTTAGAGGCTTCAGCACCTTGTTAGAATAAAAACAAAGTCCAACAAACACCTAATATCTCTGAGCAGCAGCTCAAGGAAGCTGTTTTTAAACAGACAGATTGGATTTTTGAAGTGTTTGTGTGCACATCTGTGAAATCAAGTTTCAATGACGTTTTATTTCTCTTACATGTGACGATGACGAGGAAGGTGCGGACCAGGAGGTTGACGGGCCTTTCCCACCTCTCCGACAAGCGAGCCACTATCCAGGGTATGATGATTTCTGCCGGSACGTAAAACTGCAGCGCGAAGGTGATGAATATGCCAAAGCAGTACAGCAGCTTCACCACCTGGTACAACCTGAAAACAGAGGGAGTTCAGTGAGGAAAACCTGACGGAGAAATGCAGATTTAGACGATGCCACAGACGCTACAATCCATGATTTATTTTATAAAACAGCAAACACAGACTGCCCTCTGTTCACAGTTTCAAACAGATGCTGCTAATTGCCATCTTTCAGTTTTCAACCTCATTTAACAGCCAATCTATTCCACTAATAAGCAGCATCAGACCAGTCCCAGAAGACGCTTCAATGGACGTCTGTCCTTCCTGCAGCTGTGATGATACCAACAAGTAATGAGCAAACAAATCCAATCAGACTATTTGGTTCCACCATCTTTAAYGTGTGAGCTTCTCCATCAGAAGGAATCAGACTGATGGGGTCTACCAGAACCACCAAAACCCACCGTCTGTCAGGAGCAGATTAACTGCTGGAGGGTGATTATTGACTGGACAGCTGTAGGAGCTGGAAAATAACTCCCAGTTTTAGTTTGTTTGTTTATGGAAGCAGATGGTCTGTGAGAAGAATAAAGACGTTAAGCTAAGTGGAGGAACTGTGGGCCCACTATCGTTTTGTTTTATTAACCTTTATTTAACCAGAAAAATACCTTTAAGATCACAGATCTGTGTTAAAAACAAAGGCCTGGGCCATTTCATGTTTGTGTCTTTTTAATCCTAATGATCAAGAAATGTTTTAGAATTATTTACCGATATTAAATTTGTTTAACAGCTGCAACTTTGATGCAACTATTTGGTCTAAAGTGGACAGACTCCTTTCAGCTTTTTAACAATGTTACTTTTTGATAAAGAAAAACATTTATGAAATGAAGGGAAAGAAAGATTGTTTTAGTCTTTAATGTGTCAGTTTCAACTCAGTTTCTTTTGATTTTTACCAAACCTGAATATAACAAGTGAATAAAGCAACTCTGCATACAAGTGTTGTAGTCAAGACCACCTAACCAGAGACCAAGTCAAGACCAGGACCACAGTGTATCGAGACCGAGACAAGACCAAGACTTTTAGTGCCTGGACCAAGTCGTGACCAAGTCCAGAAAAATTAATTAATTTATTTTAAAAAAGAGTTTCTTAAAAGATGGAGCATTCTATACACCTGTAGGTAACTTAATTAGTAGAGCTAATATTGACTAAATCTGTGAGGGCCGAGAAAAAATTTTTGCTACAGAGGCAGATTGCTAACATTAGCTGATGTTAGCTAACATTAGCTAATGTTAGCTTTCTCCTGGATGTTGTTTTACAAATGTATTCTTTATGATTTTATAAAATCTCGAGTCCTCAATGTCCAAGACAAGACCATCAAAAAGTGGTCAAGTACTACAACACTATTGCTAACATCCCAGCCTAAGTGTTAATAATATTAATAACTTTATTTATAAAGCACTTTCAGTCAAAGTGCTGAACAGTTACAAAAAGATAAAATCAAAGTAAAAACTTGTAAGAACAAGTATAACATTAAAAAAGGATAAAATACAAATGTAACTAGACATGGGTTTTTACGATGTAAAAATAAGTGTGCATTGCCAYGTAGCATGTCATTGCAGCATGGCTTTGCCTGCAGCATTGGACTTGCAGAATGAACTGTGACCAAGTTCAAATGTGTTTTCTAGACCAGCTTGTGCCTGTCACGTCAGCAGGTGTTTGTAATTAAGGTAATTGTGTGACAATATGAAATTTGAAGAGATTTTTTTTTAAAGTTGCATTAGCTGGGTTTTGAACCCTGATCTCCCACAAGAAAGTCAATGACATAGACCATTAGACCAATAGACCTGTGGCAGAAGATGGTGGCAGGGGTTGGTTTGTATGCGTGCAGAAAGGGGCCACATTGCCAATACAATTATTGACACAGAACTGCATAATATTACAACAATCGAGCAGTATTAAGGCAATAKTATACTGAGTTGAAATATTAAACTATGGTGCAGTACCAAGTTGAGTACAGCAGGGGGCAGTATTGGACCAATACAAGGCTCCACTGACTGCCATTATAATTTATTAAACATAAATATTTCAAAAACTATAAGTTGGACAGGCACCAAAAGGCATAGCCATCATTTGGCACAGGAGCTTTACAGATATAAATTACAATGGCAGCTCTAGGACAAAGTATGCAGGAGGAGAAGCATGCCAAAGTGGAGATGTCTTGGATGGGAAACAATGCACACTGATAAGAAAAATGTGGCACAGAAGAACAAACTAATAAAAAAAGATAAGATAATATTTTAGACTCTTCATTTATTTAAACAAAGGGAATAAACTGTGATCTTATTTTTGAGTAAATAACAAAAAGACTTTAAAAGCTGACTAAAACACACAGATCTCTGCTTTCATGTGTGAAACCAAACTAATTAATTTATAAATGCACTCATAAACAAATACATACATAAAATATTACCTAAAGAAGAAAAGATGCTCAGTGTGAAATCAGTTCTGACAAAAGGAAACAAACTGAGAAAAACACATAAAAAGACTCAAAGTTTGTTCTTCAAAGATGTTTGAAGTTGTTGATGTTAGAAAGTTTAAAGCAGCTCTGTTTTAACAGCTCTGAAGCACATGGAGTCTTCCTCAGATCTCCTGAAGAGACTGAAAACATTTTGTAGATTCTTCAGGAAAAGAGGTTTGTTGTTTTTGACCAATGTAACGTTCAGGACTGGTTTTACCAGCTTACCAGCAGTTCGGCAGGTTCAGAGTGATGCTGCCACCAATATGTTCCCCAAAGCACAAGTACCCGATGGTGCCGAGGCTGATGTAGAGGAAGGTGACGATGCCCATACCCAGATACATCACCTGGGTGAACTTCTGAGGCTTCTGCATTTTATTTTCCAGAGGAAGGACCTTCCAGAAGCACAGACACGAACAGAAATGTCAGAAAATCAGACGTTATCGTTTCACTTCTGTCACTTCCTCGTTCTTTAAGGTCTCAACTGATTTCAGCTTCTGGGCAGTACGGCTACATTTACCCTGACATTTCAGCTAAAGATCAAAGCTCTTTGGTTCTGAACTCCACATGTTGAGAAGAGTTATATCCACCCGAGCAGACGGGGTGGAGTCAGATGAATGTAATGAAAACACTGACACACAAAACATCTATTTAAAGCAGGTTAGCATCCTGAGCGGTGATTGATCACATGTAGTCACAGCAAACAATCACTGCAGCCAACAGGTATCTTTTACAGTATTAACACTCTGCAAGTTGATACTGCAATGATTATTATATTTAATATATTGTTCCACCTGCAAAAGTACTTTCTTATAAGCAGATATTTGCATCTAATTGGCTAAAAGAAAAACCTCTGACCAACTTAAAACTATTTGATGAAAGTGTTTGTTTAACTCAATGCAAAGATTGTGCTAACTTTGTAGCACATTTAGCCTTTATTTGACAAAATTTGAATAAAAAAAAACAACAACTAAGGAACACGTGCCTTAAAAGGTCACAGGCAGGATCTCGGACCTGAGGGCTCAGAACCTGAAGAACCAGATTTTTCCACTTCATTAGCTAATTATTATTATTAATATGTAATTTCCCTCTGGGATCAATAAAGTATTTTTGAATTTGAATAATTATTTTTATGGTCCCCTCTTTATGACATTACAATCAGTACCTTCAACATAACTTGCCTTTTTTTCCTGTTAATTTTGACCCCCCACACATGAAGCAGGGGTCATATTATTTTCATACTCTGGTTATTTATTTATTTATTAAAGATTTTTGGTCAACCGTAGCACGGAAAAGGCTGCACCGATCAACATGAAATTTGGTAGGAATGTAGATGTAATGATGTCGTCGAATGATAACACTTCATCAGAGCTAAACAACATCAAAAAAACTGAAGTTTCTATGTTGAATAGTTTTGGATATAAGCCTTTTGTATGTCCATACATCAGCTTTTGAAATAGCGCCCTATATGAAATATGGAGTCTATTGTAAAACTGTTTGCTAGCGCAGTGTAGGTGGGCCACATCTACATTCCTACCAAATTTCATGCTGCTAAGTGAAACCATTTCCGTGCGATGGTTGACCAAAAACCTCGAATAAGAATAATAAACAGTACAAAAATAATACAGCTCCTGTTTCGCGTAGCGGGGGTCTTAATAAAAGTGCTTTGTCAGACCTGCTAGCTCTCAGAATATGCACTGGTGATGAATATMAGCTACAACCACCATAAATTTAGTTCGATATAGGGTTGGGCAATATTGGCAAAAKAATTAATCATGAWTAATTGTGGTATTTAGCYGAWAMCGATTAATTTGACGATKAATGCCCTGGAGTCTCTGGACACCCTTATGTCTTAGTCATATGACCAATTTGGTRGGAAAGATTTGCTCTTYGTAAWAATCKGTTCCAAATTGTGTCAAAATTACAAACTTCAGGCTATACATCAAATTTTAAATTATGTTGATAGATAAATAAATTACAGAACATTTTTTTAATGTTCGYCATATTTGAAGCRGAGAAGAGCACCGAGCGTCTGCCTGGTGGCATTAAYYGTATTAATCGTCAAGTGCCAAAAAATAATGGATAATGTTTTTCTGACKATTAATTGCACACGATACGATTATGCCCAACCCTAGTTTGATACCTTCCAAATTAARCAAGTTAAAGCCACTTTTTAGTTTGTTAATGTTCATTTCTGCCCAATTATCTGCCACTTACCACTCCAATCCCTTCAAAGGCAAAGATAGCTGTTCCAAAAAACAAAGGGTAGTCGTTRGCTTTGCCGACCATTGGCAGGTTGATGGGGGATGTGATGTGCTGCAGGACAAAAATAAAGAAAGAGTCTGAATCAAGTGTGTCTGGTATTTTGGTTACATAACAGAGACTTGCTGAGTGCTCATTTGTAAATCGTCATGGCTAAAAAACAGAAAAGTGTTTCTAATTTAACCAAATCAAATCTGCAGTCAAAAGGTCCTCTCCACAGATTATACTCAATCACGTTAAATAAGAGCCCCAACCCAGGCCCGTTGAACTCATTTTCTGACCAAAGTCTGCAAATTACCTTGGCTTGTTGCAATTATTTAACATAATCACCACCCTCTGCTAGTATCTACCAAATAAGCAGAATACTCTTTGGAGCGGTCATTACTTACTGAACTGGGAGAATGAAAGATAATGTGAGCTATTAAATGTGCATTCATATGTTTAAAGAAGGYYGTCCTTGCTTTTAACACAAATTTAACAAGYGAAGACTGAAAGATGTGTACATACATATATCTTAGAAAAAACATTTCATTTAGTTGTACCATATTGTTACCATATATTCCCATTTTAAACAGAGTCAAAGYTGTTACGGCCCCTGATAGAGGCTGTGCAGTCTCTCTCTTTGTTTATGCAGATTCAGGTGTGGGCACTCGGCTGATTGGTCTGGAAGCACCACCATTGGACCAGCAGGAGATCACCAAGCCAATCAGATGATAAGGCCCAGCAGCACTAGCGGTGTAAAAAAATATCGATACACTGAAATATCGCAATATTTCATTTCCCGATACTGTGTCGATATTCTAAAGCCCTGTATCAATTTTTTGTTAAGGTTTAAAATGTCAACTTTCCTGCCAGTCGTTCATTTTTATGTTGTAGTTCAGCCTCTGACCACTAGTTGGCAGCAGTGAGCCAGCCATTTGGCTCCTCTACCTCTTGAGCACCAGAGGGTAAGGGTACCATTAGCATTGTGAGTAAACATTAGCTTCATGCTCCGATAGCTGAATCTGAGCAGAAAAGACAGACACCCTCTAAGCTGAGGTAAGGTTACAGACAGTTACTTATTTATCAGAATGTCTGTATTTTAAGCCAAATTAAGTGTTTCGTGCGCTCTTTTTGCAAATGTAGTCAACCTTCACGTTACGCAAGGAAGGCAGACATGTATGTATATAGCGCATGCGTAGCGCCTTGAGCTCGGCAAGAAGTTTAATATTGAATTTGATTGACAAGTTATTTAACCTAGAAACTTGTATTTGTGGAAGTTGATGCTCCTTTAATGTAGTTTTATTTCGGGTTGTTTAAAGTCTGGTTTAGACTTACTACTTTGATTTTTTTCTTTGGTTAGTTGTGCACTTGTCCCAATCTAGTTTTGTTTTCTWTGTTAATTCAAGTTTGTTCAACCTTTAATTGGGTTACAGTGTAATTTGTTTGGTTTACGGAACCATTTTTGTTATAATAMACTCCTTTTAAAACTACACCTTTTTCTCTGGACACAGTTTATGTTGTCACCCCTGATCGCGTAGGCTTGGCGTCATAATAAAGTAACCATAAAGATATAAACACTTTTAAAAGGCTTATGGTTTGTATGTACAGAAGCCGAGAACGGCCATTTTTGGTTTACAAAGATCTTCTATGGTTTTCTCGTGATAACGACATAATATGTCGTGGATGGATGGGTCAGTCGGTCGGTCAATTGGTTGGTCGGTGGGTTGATCAGTCGGTACTGGTAGTATGTTCCTGTTAAACACAAGGGCWGTCACACTCAACTGAGTTCAGCTGTTGTCGTGATAACAACATATGTCGTTATCATAATATGTYGTTATCACAAAAAACCATGGAAAATATTTATAAGCAGAAAAAGGCCGCTCTCGGCTTCTGTACGTATGATTTCCTGACTTGTGTTGCTCTTCATTCATCAGCCACTAACACCTTCCAGGTTACACATCTTAGCACTAAATCTTTAAGTTTCTGACGCTTCTTTTTAAAACAAGGCCGTTTCTCTACAACACGAGGGTCGTACATCTGTAAAGTGCAGCGACATCATGATGAAAAACCCCACAGCCAGATAAAAAACATGTAATCTGCAGCCTCTGTCTCCACCTGTTGCCCTGTTATCCATAAAAACCCGGGAATCCAATCAAGAGCGCGACATGAGAGGGAAAAGTGGGCGTTTAAGGCGGCAGGATGCTAACTTTAAAGGAATAAAGTTCACATCCTGGTATTGATCCAGATGTAATCACAGAAACTGTTTCCTTTATGGTCTCAGAGATGAAAGGGTTCTTTTAAAGGCTTAAAGTTGAGTCATCTTGTTGTGAATTCTTTTGAGTCAGTTTGGCTCAACTAAACAGATCCTCATCGTTTGCACCGGCTGGGATAGACATGTTTATACAACATAATATTATTATTTAATATTAACATTTGAAGCATTTCTCGACAAAACGTGAACATTCTTTACATAAGGAATAATGTGAAATAAGGTCGAATGGCTGCACGAATAAAACGTCTGAAAACTTCAGATGCTGCTGATGGATTTGACAAAAAGAAACAGATATTTTAAAAAAAGGATATAAAGTGAGATTACAGCTTGATGTGTCTGAGTTCAGTCAGAAAAAAGTGTAATGGACAAGAACCAATCTTCCTTTGTCACAAACTGGAACCTGCAGGACGCCAAACCAATGAGTCTGTGATCTATTTAGGACCTTTTAAAGATCAAAACTAAGATTTTAAAATGTATCTTAAGTTTTAGTAATAAATCTGGCTGCAGCATGTTTGAACCAACTAGAGCTGAGGACTGATAAAATACACTAAATCAGCTTTTAGATCTTTTTAAAGTGAATTTTCAGTTTAGGTAAAAGGCTTAAAGCAGACATACAGTATCATACTTTTTCAATTCTTCCTTTTCACATTTAAATCCTTYAGTTGGGTCTAAATAAAGTGGAACTACAAAGCTTTGGTCTGAATTCCTCCTTATTCTAACTTCACCAGCTCCTCTTTCACCACTTTCCTGATGTGAGTCACAAAGCAGCTCGTTTGGTTACTGCTCCTTCTTAGATGCTCCAAGCTCCGCCCCCCTCCTGCTTCCAGACCGGTCCACTCCAGTTGGATAGAGGGAGTTAATTTTACGTAATAGTTAATAAAACATCATAGAAAATAAAGAAAACTGAACGAGCTGAACAATCTGACCCAAACAGGTTATAAAGATATCTCTGCAGCACCAGGAGAGACTAAACTCTACTTTTCTGCCTCCTAGAGACTCCAAGTCCACAACAAAATGTATTTAACAGCTAAAAAAAGTGGATTTTGTAGAATATGTCCCCTTTCAAAACGCACATTATACTGTTTTTGTGGCTCAGTCCTGAGCAGTAGGCTTGGGCGGTATTGAAATATATAAAGTTTATAAAAATGATGATATTAGTGAACGTGAGGTGAAGCACCATATTTTCTGGCAATTTCCACAAGGCTGCTAAGAAAACTGGGACATAAGGTTGAGAACGGATTTATAGTTTTGTGTGGGGGTCCGACGGGGGTGGGGCTCATTGGTGGGCTCAATGGATAGCCTTTCATCAGAGCTAAACAACAAAATAAAAAATAAAAAACTGAAGCTGCTTTGTTGAAAAGTTTTTGAGTTAGAAGCATTTTTGTATGTCCAGACACCTCCTTTTTAGATGGAGCCCCCTCCTCAAATATGGGGTCTATCGTAAAACCGTTGGGTGGCTCAGTGTAGGTCAAACACATCTATATTCCTGCTAAATTTCATGTGGATCGGTGCAGCTGTTTTTGTGCTACACTTGACCGAAAAATATTGAAAAAAATCAAATTAAAATTAAACAAACAGTAAGAAACCTTGCATGTGGGGGTCATAATCAAGTGTTTCCAGTAAAAATCCACTAAAAGTTTTATCACATTTTGAAAAAAATTATTGCTTTGTTTTCCTGAGTCTTGGTTTCTGTTTGAAGTGTTTGCGCAGCAACAAGTTGCAAATTAGAAACTGGCGGCTTTTTTCTTTTTAAATAAGTCTTTTCCACCTCTCAGCAGACCAACTGCAGCCCGTTCAGAAGCAGATGGTTCAAAGAGCTTCCCGAGGTGATCTCCGTGACTCGAGATTATTCAAACAACAAGAAAGACACTAAATGAGGCCAAGATATGCAAATCCTAGAGTCTCCTGATAATCTGTACAGCAACTGTACGGCATGCACAAGTGATTCATTTCTTGGTTTCCTGCCACACTTCGGCTCCAAACTGCGAGTTATTTGTTATCCCGTCCGTGTGTAAACTTAATCAGTGTGACAAACAGAATGAGGTCGACATAAAGCTACGAGACAAACGAGGCGGTTACCATGAGGGAGTAGATGTAGATGAGGACCAAACTGGCAGTCATGAACAGGTTTGCCACCAGGCAGAAGGGAGCCAGGTACTTCAGGTTGGGGATGAAAACCAGCAGGATGAAGGCGGGCAGGAAGCAGAGCATGTAGAGGCGCGAGTCGAGGCTCGGGACCAGGATGTCCGTCTGGTTGGTGTGGTTCACGCTGCAGCTGACCGTGGTGGCGTTGGCTGCTTCCACCACCTGAGAGAAACCAGGTGAGGAGAAGTTAGAGAAATTACAATAAATAAATAGTAATAATAATAATAATTTATAGGAGCCTTTCACAACTCCCAAGTTCACCTTATAAAAGTCATTAATAAGAACAGTACGCACAATAAAAACAAAATCAATTAACAAAATAAAATAAAAGCAGTCTTTTGAGATAATGTAAGATTAACGGTAGTTACAGAGAGTTATCGGAGAACCAGGACCTGATTTCCTGAAGGCAGTTAGAGGCAGGTAGGAGGAAGAGATGATTAGCAGAAAGGTAGAGCTGGGTGTCATCTGCATAGCATCGAAACTGTATGTTGTGTTTACGGAATATGTAGCCAAGAGGGAGGATGTAGATGAGAAATAGGAGGGGGCCAAGGACAGAGCCTTGGGGTACACCGGAGGAAAGGGAGGAGGGTTTGGAAGAGAATGTTTTGACTTGAATAAACTGAGTACAGCCAGAAAGATGAGATTAATTACATACTTCTCAACACTAAGCACGTTAAAATATACAAACAGGCAGGGGTAGGCACGGTTCCGCTCATCTGCTAACATGCTAATAGCAGGACTAACATTTTGATGAGCAGTTTAGTGTTTGCATTAACTTTATAAACTAGTAACAGACTTAAATTGCACTAAATTAATATTATTTATTTTCTTTAGTGCTAAAAATCTTACAGTGAGCCTCATTATCCTTGATATTTTCAGTAATATTGCCTTTCACATGCAGCAGTCATGTTCTTGATGAAGCTAGGCTGTTAGCATGGCCTCATCTCTGCCGCCTGTCACACGATGACTACATCCCTGAGCCGATGACACACACACATTCACACACAATCAGTCTCCTCTTAACTACAGAACAMAACTTCTCAGTTTACAGCAGGGCTGTACAAAGCTTTTTATCATTAGTGGAACCAAGAACTTTGTTTTGCAAACAGGTTAGGGATCTTAAAATGTTTCGTATTCTGGGACCAACATGTTTAACAAGACAATAAACAGAATAAAGCTGAGTGACATGATGAAGACAATAAATAATAATTTATAAAACAATAAAACTTGTTATAAACATGTTCTTACTTTCTCTAAAACCCGTGTGCTTTAATAATAAGTAAATAATTATTGTCCTACATCTTCCTGGTGTTAATAATATATAAAACTCCCTCCTTCTTAAAGCTGGACTGAGACCCGGATCATCCAGTTAATGCTCCTTTACTTCCATCAGACCACAGATTTAAAAAGAACCTCCTGATTTATGAAACAGCACAAATCCTCAGTGAGGGTCCTGAACTCTCACCGTCCCTCAGTACCGGCTCGAGTCCTGCTTCATGCACTGTTTTAATTTATTAATTAGCCTCACTATGATTCCCTGTGTTTCAATTATGTTTTCTTTATAACCGTGTATTTTAGCTGCTGTGTCCTGTTTCATGAGTTGATCGTGTCTTTAAAACTATATTCAAACTGATTACGTTTTAAAAGAACTGCTGCAAAACTATCATAATACAAGCATATCAAATGTCAAAGTCATCTTTTAAACTCTTTATATAACATAAATTCTAATGTTGTTGCTGTGTTAGAAAACTAAATAAATATAGTTATGTATGTGATGCTTTGTGTGCCATTGTTGTGTTTACAGGTTTAGATGATATTTCCATTTAATGTGTAGTTGTACCTGCCCCGAGCCAACAGCCGGTAATCAACCAGAGGCTAAATCTGTTACAAAGAATCTTTTGTCTTGTGAGATTAATGTCTGCGTGCCCCCCGATCCCCGACGAAGAAAAGCGCAGAAAGCTCAAGAGACGGCCCTCCTCTCAGCCGTCGACTCTTTTCAGTTTCAGCTCCGTCGTCTCCGGGGAACACAGGCATTAACTTCAGAATTAAAAAGAAAACAAATGGAGGATGATTCGTCCTGAGAGACGAGGATGACACACTGGCCCTGGGCAGCGCTGAACATGATGATCTACATCTCTTTCACTTCACCCAGCTGATAAAACCAGGGCTTGTAGCAGACAGATTCTGCCATCTAGTGGCAGAAAGCTGCACTGCAACATGCGTGGAGTGGAAAACTACTAAAAAAAAGTATTTTACTTTTACAAACAAACCGAGAGGAATTGATTAGAAAGTCAATAAAACATTTCCAAATGAAATTCAAAGAATTGATCAATAAAGAGTTCAGTGATCAAAGGTAGCAGCATGTTTTGACCTTTCAGTGTCCACAGATGGTTGGTTGTATTGAAACGTCATTAATCCTGACCTGTTAGGAACAAACATTTGTTTTAAACATCAGGTGGGGTTTTAASGAGATGCATCAGGTGGGTTAATTTAAACACTTTGCATTATGTTGGAGCTAAAAGTTGCTGCACTGCACAGAGGAAGAGTGGTTTCAGTACTTTGTGTTAGTCTGAAAATACACAAGTTCTCATAAAAGCACAGAACCAATAAATGTGTTCAGGCTATATTTGAAGTGGGGGTGTTGCCCTGTTTTCCTGCTGCTCCACCTTCTGCTGATATTGACCTTTTTCCTGCTCTGTGCTGAGGCGTGTGGGAGACGCACTGTGGAAATTTCCATTAAAGTGAAAAGAACTGATGGATGACATCATCTGAATCTGACACACAACAGAGTTTAAAAACAACAACAATTGTATTGTTTACAATAAAATTACTACAACTATTTCCAGAAGTATAAAAGTAAAACATCAGAGGACTCAGTAACCTGGATGCCGTGCTGACACATCAAACAATATTCTCAAATAATCATAGAATTCCTGAAGCAAGCAGAAGACAAAGTTCAGTGTGTGTGTGTGTGTGTGTGTGTGTGTGTGTGTGTGTGTGTGTGTGTGTGTGTGTGTGTGTGTGTGTGTGTGTGTGTGTGTGTGTGTGTGTGTGTGTGTGTGTGTGTGTGTGTGATCAGCACCTGCTTGACGTTGTCACTGAGGAAGACAAAGTAGACGCAGCAGAAGCCCATCTGTGTGATGATGAGGAACAAGTTCACCGTTCGTCTGAAAGGCAGATCAGTGKTTTAAAGAATCAGACGGGGTCACTCCTTCAGGCCCAAAATAACAATACGCCTCATAAAATAGTTCCTCCTAATAAATGAAGTCAACTACCTGATGACTTAGCTTCCTGTGTCGTGTTTTGTTCTGTGTTTTTCCAAATGTTTGAGTTAGGGATGCAAGTTATCGATTAATGGATTAATCTAAAGTTGATTGATCTTATTGATCGACCAACGATTAATTGATAAGCGGCCATTTTCCTAAAAACCTGATATTTCTCTTGAATCAAGGGTCTTTCTATGACATGAGGGGCTATTTTGTTTTACACACTAAATTTAAAAAAATAGTACAGTTTTATATTTTATAAAATTTATTGCGTCAGCTGTATTAAACACTGAATAAAGAGAAAAATGTGGATTTCTCACATATTAAATTTGGACATATTTATAAAATATAACAAGATGAATCTGTTGGGAAAAAAAGGAAAGAATAGTTCAATTAAACACTTGATCCACCCTGAACAGATAAATTAAAAACTAACATTTARACACAGGGTAACCTAAAGATTAACTCAAAAACAAACTATAAACACAATAAAATATCCCTGAGAGGGCTGAGATACARATGTGTTTGTTTACATTCCCTGTGGTTCTGGGCTGCTCACCATGATTTGACGTCAGCTACGTTCATTTGATTGGTTCACTGGCCGGGTTACGTCACAAAAATTAACTTCATGTTAATTATTTGTAGCGACTGTAACTTTGTTTTTGTTCGTTCACACAAATTAAACTTAACAAGAAGAAGCTAGCGTTAGCTTACCGTCCTCTGTCGTCCTGCTCTATTGGTTTTAGCGTCATATTGCTGGATGGTCCGGTACAGATTTCGGTATTTTTCCTTCCAGTTTGGTGTAGTCCATTATTATTGTTGTGTCGCAAATAAAACTAAATAAGATTTGCGGATTTAATTATGATGTCACCCACATCGAGGCTGCTCTCCGCTCAGCTCAACAGGGCCGGGGTAAAGTAAGGCCAGGCTGAGAGCAGCGGCGCCCTGTAGTGAATGAAGACAAAACTACACTGGAATAAGGTTTAAACGGATGTTTTCAATTAATCGAATGGAAGGAATTTTAATCTAATAAACTAATATTCGACAATAAATTGTAAGTTGATTATTTGCTTGCATCCCTAGTTTGAGTAAGACCTGGCTGCAGAACGCAGAAAGGGGAAGGGTTGGGTCAGACCCATACCACATTTGGTAATGGCACCATTGCACTCTGGAAATAAAGACGGCGCTATATCAATGAATGCCTTAATATAGCGGATGTACTTTTTGGTCATAATTTTATTTTAAAAACATGTTGAAAAATGGATGTTGGTTTTATTTTTGCTTTATACTCTAAAAATGGAAGAATGGTCAACCTTTTTAATTTTTATCAAACCAAAAGTTTAAATCTGTTGTGTGTGATTATATATATAT